GTAAAAGACGCTTGTGAGCGCGGAGAGACGAGCTCCTCACAGGAGGATGAGGAGTCTTGGCTGAGCAACATGAATCTGGTATGCTTTGCGGCGTTTACAACAGTGCGGCGGTCATTCACTTTAGAGGAGGAGGGGGTGCAGATAGATCTCGACCAAGCTGACTTTGGCTACCACGTGGGAGAGATAGAGGTCCTGGTACCAGAGGGAGGAGATGTGCAGTCTGCCTTGGAGAAGATTGAGAGAACAGCTCAGAAGCTGGGTGAGCTCAAAGCTGTCAAAAATATATAAATATAACATGTTCACTATCATGTGTAGTATTCATCATGTAGGATGTCACTTTGCCTTTCTGTGACCTGCTTTCATTGACATCAATATTTGTTCTCCTCCACAGGTCTGACTGGAGATCAGCGAGTGGAAGGGAAAATGAATGTTTACCTTAAAAGAAATCACCCAGAGCACTATGCAAAACTACTGAGTGAACATGTTTTGTAACACATATTATATGTGTTCTGTATTTTAGGATGTACATAGTCATATCTGTAAAACAAACTTATTTATTAGAAAGCCTAATTTTGTAAAAATTTAAAAAGTGTGTAGCTGTTTTCGCTCGCCGTACGTTTCCTGAATTTGAAACTTTAGACAGCAACAGGCCTTTGAAATTTACACATGCGGGGTGCTCAATGGCTGCTGTCATCTCCACTTGAACCCTTTGTGTCCTATGCGCCACACGCAGCAGTTTTGTTTTTGTGTGGCAGTAATATGGAGAGTGTGGGAGGAACTGTGAATACTGGAAATAAATGGGGTGCCAAACTGTCGATTCACAGTTAATAATGATACCTTGGTGTGTTTATTAGACACTCTCAGATGAAGAGCTGGTTTTTCATCCCCAGCACAGTTTGAAGGTTTTACCTGTATTTCTGTCAGAAACTACAGCTTCTTATTGCTGCCCCCGGTCTTACATCATCAAGCCTCCTGCATGATACCATTTTTTGCAGCTCCCACTCAGTGCTTGTTTCCAAATTTAAGAATCTTTACATTCATGTTGACGTTTCAGTAATTTAGCCCTATGAAATGAGTTTGGAAGAGATGATATATGTATGCTTTACATTATCCTGTTAAAAACATGATATTTCCATTGCAAATAACAAAAGGGTTTTCCTTATTTTGATTATGTTAAATTATATTATAATTAAACATTTTTAGCTAAATCATTACTCAACAAAAACTGACATTTTGTATGTGGGATGGATGGGTAATGATGGAACCATTCAGCGCTCATTACTGTCTTCATTCTGTCTAAATCTGAGTGATATAATGAATAACTCATTTCCCATGTCTTAGCAGTTAGGCTCATTTTACAAATAACCTGATAATATAAATATGTTTACATACCCTACTCTGTCAGTACAAGATAGTTATTGAAGTTGAAGCATTAGTTTGTGACTTCCAGGTCAATCAAAAGCTATGTAACTTTAATTTCTTCACTACCCAGTTTAACTATTAATGTGTTTGCCATCTTTCCGTGTAGGGCAGAGAGAGTACCTCATCCTTCTGTCAAATTGAAGCAGAAGAAAATATGACGGAACGAGCTATCTCATAAGAAATAATGCATCATGTGTTACTGAAGTCAACTAAAATGGCTCTATCGCAGCACATTCTCTCTTCTATGGAGAAGCTGACTCCTACAGTGCCGGCACGATTATAGAATCTACTGCATTAACAAGGGTGGAAGTTTACTGAAAAGAGAAAAAAAAACCTTATTCTTTTGTTTCTACAATAAGAGATGTATCCTGTTATTGTGACAAAGCATCTAGTTATAATAAGAAAATAATCTTGTCAAACTTTTTAGAATAACAACAGATGTGTTCTCATTATAATGAGGTAAGTTAAAAGCAGTGTTTCATTTAGACGAGCAGAGGCACTAAATTAATTCATCAAGTTTTCTTTTTTGCAGCATGCTCTTGTTAAGCAAAGTGCATTAAATTGTAATTAGACACTGCAGGATTCAGTCTTTGGCAAATTAATTCCCAATTGATTTCTGGTCCAACATTCCTGCAGTACTGTGCTGACATTACTTGGTTCCTCCATGACAGACTAACAAGAAATACCACAGTCACGCATCACTCATGTGCTTCAATTTCAGGCTGTGAGCAATCAGTTGGAGGTGATTGAGGAGGTTTCTGAGAGGTTGAAATGAGCCCTCCAACGGACTGTTCTGTGATCTGGTCTGTACCAGCACCAGCACCTGTTGTGGGCAGCTTTGTCTGGACACCTGTGATCCCAACACACAATAACAGACTGTATACAATATAGAATAATGTCATACATGGGAAAGCACAGAGAGCAATTGTCACTCATTTGAGAGACACACACCCACCCTGGGCTTCTCCTGTGTATCAGTTTTCATTCTGCCACATCTGCTCTTTATAAACATAATGCAGCTGCCCCCTTCATCAAAGACTAAAACAATATTGCAATTGCACATCAATTTTGCATAAACTTTACAGGAAAAACACACTAACAATGACAAGTAATTACCAATGTTAGCAAGAACCTATTTTAACAGTTTCACCCTTTTGAGACCACCTCACATTACCTTTTAAACCAAGCCTATGTTAACTATTACTTTAGCAGGTTTTTTACAATGGACACATTGGATTTTAAAAGCACTACAGTAAGCATACAACTTTTACTGGATAAACTGTTACAGAAAGAATTAAATTAGAAATGCCATGGTGTTTAAAAATGTAAGCAGAGTTTATTCTAAGTCAGAATAATCACAGAAAGTAAGAAACAAGTGAAATAGGTACAATAAAAGAGGACAAATTAAAGAATAAACAAAAAGATAAATAGAAAATAAAAAGCTAAAGAATATTCGAACAAGAATTTAAACACGGTTGCACACTTAATCAGTACGTATCACGTCACAACCGACGGGCTT